GAACAACTTAAATGTATGATGAATAGAGAGAAAGAGAGAGAGAGAGAGAGAAGGAGAAAGAGAAGGGGAGAGAAAGAGAGAGAAAAAGGAAGAAAAAGAGAGAGGAAAATATATTTTTTTCTTTTTAAACGTGTTTACAATTGTTTAAATTATTTGTAAAAAAAAAAGTTTTCGCTTTATTTTACACACACGAAGAGAAAGAGAAAGAGAGAGAGAAAGAGAGAGAGAGAGTGAGTGAGAGAAAAAATAAAAAAAATTTTTTCTCCTTTTTTTTATTATTGATTTTTTTTAATAAATATTTGCATATATCGAAATAAGAATTCAAATCACATTCTCATATATTTTATATCTTTATTAACTTTTTTCTTTTTTTTTTTTCAATAGATAATTTTCCATTTTTCCTTTTTTTTCCTTTTTTTTTTGTTAAAAAAAAGGAATCGAAATGATTTTTTTTTTTGTTAAAAAAAAGTAATCGAAATTATTTTTTTTTTTTTTTTTTTAATATTTGTATGTGATAAAAAAAAAAAAATGAATTGAAAGAGAAAAAATACAAAAGAAAATTCTAATGAAATAAATTTAAAAAAAAAAAAAAAAAAAAGTAAAAATGTTCCTTTATCATCATTATTATTTTTTCCAAAGAATATTAATAATTTTATCATTTATTGTTTTTTATGTTATGTTATGTATAAATTATTGAATACGTTTAAATAAAATTAAATATGTCGGATAATAAGGTGTGTGCCCAAATGTTATCACTCATAAAATAATTTACAAAACAAACAAAGCAAAACAAACAAACAAAAAAATTTTTTTTTATTTTTATTTTCCATCTCTCCAGAGTTGTCGTTATCATTATTATTATTATTATTATTATTATTATTATTATTATTATTATTATTATTATTATTATTATTTAAATTATCTTTTCAAAACTTTTTAATGTAGAAAACTTTATTTTATCACTCAACGCCGAAAAGGAAAAAAAATTTCCGAATCGAGAGCTCGTTGAAAATTATTATTATTATATTATATTCCTTTTAAACTCCTTCTTCCTGCTTCTTTCCCCCCCCCATCCACGTTCCTCTCTCTCTCCGCCTCTTTTCCTCCCCTTTTCCACCCCCCCAAAAAAAAAATTAATAAATAAATCCAGTTACGTAAATTAAAAGCAAAAAAAAAAAAAAAATTATTTATTTTATTTTTTTAATAAGGTTTCGTAATAAATAAAGAAATAAATAATTATTAAAAGATTACGTTTTATTTATAAATAAATTTTCAAATTGAATCGTATTTATTAATTTTAAAAAAATTTTTTCTTTTTTTTTTTGCCATTCCCCCCTCAAAAAGGAAACTGAGGATGGAAATACGGGGGGGTACGGGGGGGGGTGAGAGTGCGACAAAATCTTTTCAATTTATTAATGGGAAAAAATAAATAATAATAATAATTAATTAAATAATAAGAGATTTTATTTTAAATAAGTTAAAAGTAAATTTTTCATTTCGTCACGTACCGAAAAAAAAAAAAATTTCAATTACGTAATCGAATAATAATCGATAGATCGATCGATCGATTTATCGACGACGAAATTATTTATTTTTTTATTTATTTTATTAAAATAATAAATAAGTACAACAAACCTAAAAACGTGAATTTTTTTTTTTTGCAAAAAAAATCTAAATAAATCGAGTTTGTTTCGACTAACGACTACATTATTATTATTATTATTATTATTATTATTATTATTATTTATTTATTTATTTATTTATTACCTGTAGAAAAATTTTAACGCGCAATATATATATTTATGTTTATTTTATTTTTTTAAAAAAAACTTTTAAATAAAAGTTTTAATTTTTTTTTTATAATTAAAAAATTAAAAATAATCGCGGTTTTTTTCCTTCCTTTTTTTACAGTTTAATAATAATAATAATAAATTATGAAAGTTTTTTAATTTGTTTTTAATTGGAAAACTCTTTTACTTAAAAAAAAAAAAACTTTTCGCCATTTTATATTTTTCTATCAACATCAACATCATTATTATTATTATTAAAATCATTTATTTATTTTTTTCTTCCGGAAAAATATATATATATATATATATGTTTACGTTTAAAAATTTTTATATATTTAAATTAGGAAATTTTTACTGCGACGTAATTCATTCTAATTACACGTCATCTATTTTTATCGTAATTTTTTTCTGTTTATATATTTACGTGGGAAAAACGCAAAAAATTCATAAATAAGAAGATGAGTTGATAAAACTATGGATAAATGATAAGAAAAAGAGAAAAATGATAAGAAAAAAAATATATGATAATTATAATAATAGATAAAATAATAAAATGAAATTAGAGAAAGAGAGAGAGAGAGAGAGAAAACGGAGAAGCGTAAGAAAAAAAAAATTAATTAATTAATAATTAGTTATTTTAAATTGTAAAAAAAAAAATTTGTCTGTCAACTTACATAATAAATTTATTAACTATTATTATTTTAAATTTATCACATATACATAATTTTATCATTAATTAATTAATTATTTTTAATAAAAAAATAATAAGTTAAAGTAATAAAATATTTACGTAGAAGAAAAAAAAAGTGGGAAAAAAGTGGGAAAAAAGGTTCTATCGATGAAAAAGGTTTTTTTTTTTGTCAAAAGGTTAAATTCTTTTAATTCGTCGGTGATATGTTATCATA